CAATATGATAAACATTGATTAAGAGCCTACTATGTGCCAGGCACTGTGCTAAGTGCTAGGCGTATAAATAAGAAAAAGAAATACAGGACTCGCCCTCAAGGAGCTTACAAAAAAAGGACGCTAAAAAGGGTGAAGGAGGGGCTGCAAAACAGTCCCTAGTAAGTGGGAAGGGTATGATGACGATGGAGTCAAAATTAAGCAGAGCAGCTGGTGTTGGATAAAGAGATGACTGAGATTCTGAAACCTCTAGAAAGAGAAGAGTTTTTTGCTCTGTCTACCAGCCCTTCAGGGAGAGAGGCAGAAGCAACCAAGGGTACTATTGAGATGTGAATGCTAAAGCTGGAGCAATCTTGATGATGATGCATTTCCTAGTGATAAGCTCACCCTGCGAGAGTCATGATGATGATTATGTTGGAGACGAAACAATGCAGGGTATTTTCCTTTCCTATAAAATGCAATATTACCAATAACCAAATTACATGTCAGAGGTGAAGTAAAAAGTGGAAAAACTGGGACACTAATGCATCATTGGTGGAACTGTGAACTGATCCAACCATTTTGGAGAGCAATCTGGAATTATGCTCAAAGAGTTATTAAATTGCTTATACCCTTTGACCCAGCAATACTACCACTAGGTCTATTTCCAGAGATGATTGGGGAAAAAGAAAAAAGAACCTGTATGTTCTAAAATAGTTATAGCAGCTTTTTTTGTGGTGTCAAAGAATTGGAAATTGCAAGGATGCCTATCAATTGGGGAATAGCTGAATAAGTTTTGGTATATGATTGTGATGGAATATTACTGTGCTCTAAGAAATGATGAGCTTGAGGATCTTAGAAAAACATGGATAGATCTGCACAAAATAATGAAGAGCAAAATGAGCAGAATCAAGAGTACATTGTATACAGTAACAGCAATATTGTTTTAAGAACAACTTTGAATGACTAAGTCATTTTAGCTATTATAAATACCCAAATTAACTACAAAGGACATGTCAAGGAAGACACTACCTACATAATACTACCTACATGAAAAAAATAGTTTTACACATGTACATATTTGTGTTTAATATAGCCATCTCTAGGGTGGGGTAGAGGAGAAAAAGGAGGAAAAAAAGAAATTTACATGATAACTTTATTATGTAGCTAAAAAGGAATATTAAGTTGTACATAATAGATTTGTAGATTCATGTGCAATCATCTTTTATTTATTCTACTATGTTATGGAAATGCTTGTTTTATTTCATAAATTAAAAATAAAATAAACAAATTTTTAAAATGTGATCAAAGAGATGACTGATTAGAAAAAGAGGTAGGTCAGTCATGAAGTAAGAGTAAGAAATAATGCACAATATTGAAAAATGTAGAGGGAAGCCTGAAACATGTTTGGGGGGCCTACTCTGTGGAGGATTTATAGGAAAACATGGACAAAAGCCACCCTGGATGAAAATAACAGAATTTTAGAATCCAGAGGGAGAGCAGCACAGATGAATTGTGATCTATACTACAGGAGTGAGTATCCGCATTGATTAGTTCCTAGATGACACTCACAACTGTGTGTCTCTGGGCAAATCCCTTAACCTCTGCTTGCTTCAGTTTCCTCAACTAGTCCTTGACTATTCATCTTTTTCTAAATTATTATGAAGATAATAATAATGCCTATATCCCAGGGTTATTGTAAGGATCAAATGAGATGATATCTGAAAAGTGCTTAGCACAATGCCTAGCACATAATAGGCACTTAATAAATGCTTGTTCAGGGGCATCTGGGTGTCATAGTGCTGGTCCTGGAGTCAGGAAAAGTTGAGTTCAAATCCAGCCTCAGACACTTACAAGCTGTGTGACCTTGCGCAAGTCACTAAACCCTGTTTGCCTCAGTTTCATCATCTGCAAAATGAGCTGGAGATGGAAATCGCAAACCACTCCAGTATTTTTGCTAAGCCCAAATGTGGTCATGAAGAATTAGATACGATTGAAATAACTCAGCAGTGAAAGATGCTTGTTCCTTTTTTCTTCCTCTACATTGAAGTAGTCAAAGAGTTGGGGGTAAAATAAAATCAACAAAGAGATAAACTCAGTGCTTAAAGTGGATAGGATGATGATGATGATGATGATGATGATGATGATGATGATGATGATGAAGAAGATGGAAAACAAGGAGAAGCCAGAATTATTTAACTATTTTGCTCTTGTTCTCTGTATCAAGGAGAATGGTCCTTGTCATGGTAAGGTGAATGTGAGGTCCAGAATTCAGTTTGTGAGTAAGATGTAAAGGCTGGCAGTACAACAGCATTTTCACTTGAGCAGAACTTGGTGTCACACAGGATGGGAAATCTTCACCACTGTTCTCATTAACACCAAATGATAACCAAATGAACTAAGTGTTTGGGCCACTGCATCTGTATTCCTCTGGTACAATATCTTTATGGCATCCAAGGGAAGAAAAAGCAAACTATTAAATGTGTGTCTTTAGTACCATGGAATCCAGGGATTTTAGAAGATGAAAAGCTCAGCTGAAATGACAAGGATTGGATTGCATTGGGATTGGTAAGGGTTAATATTTGAGCATTTTAGGGAATATTTTAGGGAAAAATTTTAGGGAAAAGTTCAGTGTTTGATTGAGGTCTTTGCCCAGTCACTTCTCAGTACCCACCCCATCCGCAAACAAAGAGAATTACGTATAATTTGGTGCTACTGATGTAGAGCTACATTTCCTCCTAATTGTTTATTACTTATATACCATGGTGACCACCTGAGACTGGTCACCATAGCAATCCCACAACTAAATAGAAGATGAAATTTATGCATCAAATTTTGAATGAGGGTAGAAAATGCATTATGGCCAATTGTTCCTAAATCTGTGGGTACATCAGTATCATTGCCAAACTCAAATATGAATTGTTTCTGAGATCCTTTGCAGAATTTTCAAAGGAAGAACTATAGGGCTATTCCATACTAGCACCTAATTTAGTATTGAAAAAGAAGGAATTACTTGGAATATTAGCATTCTGCAAACATTTACCTGGTCATGAGTATATGTCCACTTGCATTTGATATGTTTTCTTATTTCCTCCAATTAACCAAAAAAACTCTGTCAAGATATTAGGGGACACTCTGTTTTCCAGAGCTAAGGCCCAGCAAGCAAGCTGTACCCTGAGCTTGGCATAACAATAATCCTTTGCACTCACCCTCTTGATGATCTCAGCCACAGCAAAATCCCAGCATTGTTTCATATAATTATTGTATTGCTTTGACCAGCACCAGCTGTTCTTTGAGCTCTGACAAGCATCTACTGTATTCATGTTCTAGTCATGAAACCCTGCCATGAATCAAACTTGTCTCATTGCCGCTGTTATTCCTCATTGTCAGGGCTACAACTCACTTTGTAGCTGTTGGTATTATTGAGATCTCCCCGAACTAAAGTGGCCCCCCCCCAATGGGGGCAGGTGTCTAGATCTCCTGCTTGCTTTCCCTCACTTTGAAATTAAACTTCTGCTTGATTCCTGACTCTCCTCTCTCTAGCCTGCTCTGTTTGCTCTGGCCATGCACAGGTTAGAGGCCGGTTTGGTCTGGTTGACATTTCTATTAATTCAGCCTAATTTTTAAAAATTCAAAAATTAAAATTAAAATTTTTAAAGGTTTCTCTGATCAGACACAGAACATTTTGTTTGGATTTATTGGCTACCCTGTGAATGAAAGTGTTTTCTTGTCCACAAAGGATGTTATTTCTTGATGTACAGACACAAGGGCTGGTCCCTGATCAGATGAGCTCAATTGGAGGATGTCTGTTGTGGGGCTTGGGCTACTGGAAAGAATTAAAGTGATGTATAGGTAGGTAGGTAAGGGCAGAACTGGGATCAGAACCAAGGTCTTCTAACTCCTAGTACAAAGCTCTTTCTGCTATACCATGTTGCTTGTAAGGAATGATTTGAGGTTACTTTTTATGAAAGTAGGTATAAATTGGGGGTTACTGTTAGGAGTGTAGAATGATTGAGCATTATGAATAAATTCCTGAGGGAAATGATGGGCCAATTCCCTCTAGGCCACAGAAAAAATGGAGATTTGGCAGGTGGGGGGATTTGGCTGCTTTTTATTCCTCTTCCAATAACCTCACACCAAATCTCAGAGAAATATTCTGGGAGGAACTAACTTTTAAAAGATAACCAGGAAAAGAAAAGAACATTGAGGCCCTAAGTCAAAGCAACAGTTAATTCAAAATTTATAAGCACAAGGAACAAAACACATCTCTTGGTGTGTTGGAAGAGGAAGTCTAAGACTGCTAAAGATCTGCCTCTTCCTAGGAAAAGTAGCTTAGCTGCTTCTGGAGGCCCAGGGGCCTTAGGATCAGGGCTTGACCTCCATGATAGAGCAACTAAGAACCAAAGAAGATCTAGGAACTCTATCTTGTAAAGTACTTTATTATAGGATCAAAGTGCCCACTAATTTTATGACCCAGTGCCAAATACCAACTCACAGAAGGACTCCAGAATACGAATATGGTTCCCTTCAGATTCCAGAAAAGCAGACAAAACCTAGGGGGTTTTGACTTTGCCATTAAAAACTCTGGCAGCCCATAAAATAAATCTAGGTTTATACAGTACTTTATGTTTTGAAACGCCTTTTGTTTATGATATCATGACCTAGAGAGAGAAAATTCAACTCCTGCTCATCAAGGGGGAAACTGAGGCACAAATCAGTTCAGTGAAAAGTCAGGGTCATAAATTCAGTCTGTGGCACACCTGGGTCTTGAATTCAGCTCAGTCTTATTTCAGGCTCAGGACTCATTACACAATGTAGCCTCTGCAGACAAATTGAGAGTGCTCCACCACTTCTCCTTCTAGGATTCCTCTTGCCTGAGCCCAGTGACTTTAGCACGAGAAAATCATCCAATGAGTCATTCTCTTCCCCTCCCTCCCACCCCTCCTATCTTTCAGAAACTACAGCTACAACTTCTCACTCGTGAGCGGCGAGGACTTTATAAGGAGTTTTGTCGAGTTTCCTACCTGTATCGGTGCAGGCAATGGGGAAAATTACGCATTTGCCCGAAGCAGGTTGGATAAGGAATTAAGGGGAGGGGAAAAGGGAGGAGGTGTAAAGAGCCAGGCTCCCCACTTTCATCCCGTCGACATCTACAGATTTGGGGAATGCAGTTTCTGTGCAGCTGTCAGCCGGTTGATGTCGAATCCTGAGAGATGGACGGTTCATTGTTGAGGAGGAGGGGGAAGGGGACAGAGCGAAGGATGGGGCGATAGTGTGAGTGGGAAGAAAGGTAAACAATGGAGTGGGAATGAAATCCATTCCCCTTAGGGCAATCCCGCCGCCTTTTCACGCTATGTCTGTAGCATACTGAGTTGCTCTGGTCCCATCGCAACACTTGCCCATCCAATTCTGGGATAGGATTCAGGGGGTAGGAGAAGACATCATGTTCCCAGTGCTCTCAGCCCAAGCCCTGAGACTTGATCCAGGAAAGGTAGAGATCATAGCGGGAACCTTGCCTCGGAATACCTCTCCCCTACCCAACTGCTGCTCTTGCTTGCCCCTCTGGGACTGCCACCCCTTTCAGCACCGTGGGCGGAGAACAGCTCCGAAAAGAAAAGCTGGCCTGGCTGAAAGCTTTCTCCTTAACCCCTTCCCAGGCTCTCTTAAAGCCCTTCTCTATTCTAGCACTGTGCCCTTAGTCCCTCCCTTCGTCCCTTCCTCACAGGCTCTGTAACGGGCAATCTCATTCTCAATCCTTTAATCCAGTTCGGGACTGGAGTTTGCTTCCCCAGTGTATCTTCAGGTAGTCCCAGGATTCCTGACTAATATCCTTTAAAAATGCCTTCTTTCTCCTTGTCCGGAATCCTCACCTCTCTTAGCCCTTGAAGAGTTTCTGTTCTTCCACTGTTCACGCTTGGTTCTCTCACTCTAGGGTCTGGACTGCAGAGAAGGACGCTAGCTTTCTTGTTGTTCAACTCGTGTCCTAGGTGCGTTTCCTTCCGTTGCTGTTGAGCGAGCCTTTACTCTCGCTCTCGTTCTTGTGAAAGGTGAGGATTCTGATACTTTATGGCTGCATTCATTTGGAAAGATAGAGACACTGCATTCATACCACTATCACTTCCAAAGGATAATGGGAAGTTGGGGTGAGGGAGAGGACAAATAAAGAACAGGAGGTCTATCTTAACTTTGGATTTCCTGGGAACTCTGTCAGGACCTTGGCATTTGTTCTGTGACCATTTTTCTCTTGTTTCCTAGGACTATAATTCATTTTGGATTAAGTCAGGTTTGGACTCTCAAAGCCTGTGATGTGTTTTTTCCTCCTTAAAAACAAAATAAAAGTTTTTTTTCTTTTCTTTTCAGGAAATTAGTCATATACTAACTTGTATAGTTGGAGAGTCAACATGGTGTAATGACAAAAACCTTGGAATGCGGTCAGGAGACCAGTTCTATTCCAGCGAATTACTTGACTGACCACGGTTTCCTAATCTGTAAAATTCCTTAAAACAAGGATAAAGACATATGCATTTCTCACCTCATATGGCTGTTCTGAAGAAAGGCTTTGTAAACCTTAAAGTGATGTAATTATTCTCTTAATATACTTTTTTTGGGTATCTTACCAAGACAGTTTGCAATTCCAGAATCAATGGATTAAATGTAAAGTGCTAAATCCTACTAATTCTACTTTAGTTCTTTTTTGAGTACTATAAAATTTCAACTCCTTCTGGAAGAAACTACTTTTTAACATCATCACTCTTGGATGAACTCATTTATATCTGTACTCTTACTTTCCTAAAAGTTATGTTTCTTGGGGTCCTTATAAAATTATAATTTATGTATTACTTTTTTTGGGGGGGAGGGTGGGAACTGGATGACATTTTGCCTTTTTCTGGCTGTGTGTAAAAAAATAAAAAATCCGGAGTCCAGGAGATAAATCATTTTTTTCTAATAGTAATGATTCACATTTATGTAGGCTCTAAGGTTACATAGTGCTTTCTAAGACATTATCTTATTTAATCCTTATAAGAGATAGGACATGCATACTTTTCCTTTAGGAAACTGAAGCTGAGAGAGGTTAAATGATCTGACCAAAGAAACATAGCAAGTGGCAAATTAGAATCCAGGTCATCTGACCTCCAAGTCCAATGCTGTTTCTATCATACTACTCTCTTATTCTTACTTGTCAAATAAAAAGGAAAATAAAATTCTAAAATGAAAAAAAAAATAAGCCTATGGCTGCCCAACATAAAAGACAGCATCAATTGGTTAGATAACATATACTTATTAAGCACCAGTGTCTACCAATATGCTAAGTGTTGTGTAGGATAAAATAACTGTAAAACATGATCACTATCCTAGGGAATTTTACAATCAATTGGGGAGAGAAATCTAAGATAGGAAACAATGATAGATTAGTTAAGAGCTAAATTATTTTGTGAGAGTTGGTGGTTTGACTCCAGAAGACGTTGGTTCAAATTTTCTGCCTCTGACACATATTGGCTATATCCATGGGCAAGTAACTTAAGTTTTCATTTCCCTGGACAATGACTTATCATCTTAGAAAATGCTATAAATTACAGACAAATTTCCATTATGCACCAGTGGTGAGACTCTCCCTACCAGGAGTCTCCAATTCTGACAAAAATTGCAGGTCTAAGCCCAAATAAACAATTTGTATTAACAAGAAATATCAGTGTCAAAGTGCCTTATGGCACAGACAATATGGATTTTTTCTTAAAAAATAGAGTGATTAGTATATAATGGACCACGTATATGATGTCCATGTATATGATGAACCATGAAACTGAACAAGGTTTCATGAAATAGTTGGGCTGGCAAGCTGAGTTAGGCCTTGAAATAGTGGAAAAGAGCAAGAGAATTACAATCAATCATTCAATAAGCATTTATTAAGAAATTGATAGGTGCTAGGCACTATGCTAGATCCTGGAGATTCAAAGAAAGCAGTGAGACAGTTGGAGGAAACAGAATATAAAAATACAGGTTTATGCAACATAGAAACAAAACATAAGCTAATTTTGGGAGGAAGACACTAGCTGCTGGAGGTGGGGTGGTATCAGGAAAGCCCTTATGTAATGAGTTGTATTTCAGATGAATGTTGAAGAAAACTAAAGATTCTAATAGTCAGAGGTGGGGAAGGGAGTGCATTCAGATTAAAAAACAAACAAACAAACAAGGTGTGGCAGTGTGGATGTGTGTAGGGTATGGGAGGATGACAAGGGTATGAGTGGGACAATATGGAGACTAATCTGCCTGGAGTACGGGGCTCAGGTTAGAGAATGGTGAGAACAAAGGTTGAATAGGTTGCTCTTGGAGTAGACAGAAGATCTGGGTTAGAAACCTGGCTATGACAATAACTGTATGGTCATGGGTAACCCACTTGAGATCTGTGAGTTTCAGTTCTTTCCCTTGTAAAATAAAGATATCTTCTATGTTAAAAGCAATTTATGATTTGCAGATTGCTTTATATATACCATCTTATACAATCTTCACAACACTATGCTAAGTGTGGCAATTGTTTTTTTAAATTATTGTGAGTTGGGCAAAAACTAAATAAATACTTATGTCAATATGCATAGTAGAACAGAAAAAAGAGGATTATGTATGAAATTGCAAATCTCTATTATGTACAGCTTCTTTATAGGTATATAAGTTCAACCTGTGACCTTCAAAGCTATCCTTCTTGTCTAAGCTTGTTTCTGGACTTCCTTCTGTTCTCTGCATTAAAAAAAAAAAGATGAACTGATAACTCTTTCTTTTCTCTTCCCTTCTCTTCCCTTCCCTTTCTTTCTTCTTTCTATCTTTTTTCTTTCCTTCCCTCTTTCTATTTCTTTCTTTCTACATTTACATAACAATCCAAGAGGCATTTCAAATGAAGAAATTAGAGAAATTATTGACAGTCAGTCAGCTAGTCAGCAAATATTTGTTAAATATTTACTATGTGACAGACACTTCACTAAGTGCTGGGGATTACAAAGACAGGCTAAAACATGATTTGTTGCCTCAAGAAGTTCACATTTTAATAGGAGAAACAGCATGCAAATAATTATGTACTTATAAGATATGTGCTGCTGCATATATTTCCATAAATGGTAAGTAATCCTAGGAGAAAGAAACCAGCAGCAGAATGGGGGGGGTGGTGTGTTAGGGACACCCAGAAAGACTTCTGGCAGAAAGTGGGATTTGAGCTAAGTCTTGAAGGAAGCCACAGAAGCTATGTGTTGGAAGTGAAGAAGGACAGCATTCCAAGTATGGTGGACAGTCAGAGTCTGGATATGAAGTGTTATATATGAGGAAAAGGAAATAGACCAGTAGCTAGATTGTAGAAGCACATTGTGGGGTAAAAGGCAAGAAGAATGAAAAGGTCAGAAGAAACCAGATTGTAAAGAGCTTCAAATGCCAAACAGAGAATTTTATATTTAATTCTAAAGGTAATAAAGAGTCACTGGATTTTTTTTTTCAATAGAAGGTAATATGATAAGCCACATGCTCTAGGGAAATCACTTTAGCAACTGAGTGGAGGATGAACAGGAGTGGGGAGGAACTTAAGGTAGGGAGGCTAATTAGAAGGCAACTTCAATAATAGTGCATGTGAGAAGTGATGAGAGCCTGTTTCTGAGTGGCAGATGTAGGAGTGTAAGGAGGGGGCCATATAAAAGAGACATTGTGACCATAAAAACCCAATCAGATTTGACAACACAAAAGATACATAGGGTGAGTGTGGATGAGGAATTGAGGATGACACCAAAGTTTTAGTTATAGGACCTGGGAATATGGTGGTACTTCTAATGGTAATAGGAAAGGTAGGAAGAGAGAAAGGGTTAGTGGTAATGAGTTGTTTTGGACATGTTGAGTTTCAAATGTCTAGAGGATATGCAGTTAGAGATGTCCAAAAGGCTGTTGGTGATGAGAGACTAAAGGTCAGGGGAGAGACCAGGGTTGGTTAGCTATATATCATTAAAGGTAGTTAAAGCCATAGGAACTGATGAAGTCACAGAGATGGCACAGAAGAAAAAGAAAAGAGGTCCTAGGGATAGACCCATAAGGACACCTATGGTTATCAGGTATGACCTGAATGAAGATTCAGCAAAGAAGAGTAAGAAGGAGCAGACAAGTAGGAGGAGAACTAGGAGAGACCCATAGACACCTAGAGAGGGGAGTTTACTTTGGAGAAGAGGGTGATTAGTAGTAGCAAAACCTACAAAAAAATCAAAGATAGACGAGGACTGAGGAAAATTGAAAATAGAGGGGAAATGATTAGATTTGGC